TGGAGGGCGGAAAAGGACGCAGTTTCGAAGCCACAAGAGATTGATTCGCGGACTGTGCATGTTGTGCCGGGACCGCCGGCAGAACTGGAGGTACCTCACCGAGAGGTATAGACGCTATGCTCTCCAATCTAGCGCTCTTAGACGCCCGAGACTGAGGAAGTCGCTGCGCCGATCGGAGCGGCGAGCGGGTACATGGGACAAACGTGTGAAGAGAAGTGGACAGCAAAAGACGAACTCGAGAAACGGAAACGGGGTACTTACGCACCGCATGTCGAAGAGGAAAGGCATCTCAAGCCGCCTACAAATGCCAATCCAAGCCGGCAACATCCTGCAAATCATCCACATTCAACCGGTCCACGCCCTCATCCACCAGCTGCTGCCACAGCCCCTCACTCGGAATATCCCAATACCTCACAAGAAGCCCCTTATCATGCGCCGCCTTGACCTGGTCCCTCAGCTTCTGCAGATTCGCGCCGGAAATCGCACTGCTGCTTCCCTGCACCGCGTCCTTGAAGCTCGCGCTTGCATAGTAGGAATTCGAGGAGTCGAACTTGGACATGTCCTTGTTGATGCGCGCGTCGACGAAAATGGAGCGCGAGGGGTTACTGGCGGGGTCTAGCGCTTTGGCAATGGGTGACGGGACGTCAGAGTCTTGGATCGCGTTCCCAGATGCGATGACGGTGACGAGGCCTTGCTTGAAGGAGCCATCATAGTGGCTTAGGTGGCCAGCGTCGCGGAGGGGAGTGAGAGCTGCGACAAGCTTGTCCCAGGTCTGGTCGCTGTTGCCTTTGAAGTCTATCAGTAGAGAGAGGGCTTGCTCTGGTTTCGTAGGGAAGACTGCTTGTCGCTCGTCGATGAGCTTCTGTAGAGGGTTGAGATAGAGGTCTTGGAGCGTTGGTCCGTTCGCGCCGGGGTCGGTGTGGCCCACAGTTAGCTTGTCGCCGTGCACCCAGATATCCGCTTCTACGCTTGTGCAGCCGGCGCTCAGCGCGGAGTAGAGCGCCGTGTCGCGCGTGTAGTCGTTGTGGCTGTGGCATGGGACGGGTGTAATATCGTTGAAGGCGTAGGTTGGGAATGGGTCCAGGGTATTGCCCTTGTCACCATCCCCTAGTGCTGAAATCGCTCCATCGAGCACAACGGTCTTGTCCACGGAGTCGAAGGTCGGCGGGACCTTGTTCGCCAGTGCGTGGTAGGAGACGTCGCTGTTCCCTACTTGGAATGTCCCACCCTTGGTGTCCTTGTTGTCTTTCCCGTAGCATTTGCTATCTTCTGCCGAGAGCTTCTTGAGGTGCTCTTTACACTTTTCGCCTGGTCGACTGCTTAGTATCAAAACTTCGCATCCTGATGCGAGAACTTACCATCGACGACATGGTCACTGTCTTGCTTGTTGTGAATCTCAAAATATACATAGCCATTGATGCCCGTCGTCTCAGGGTCTCCGCCATAGCTGAACCATACCCTAGTGGCCATGGACAAGTACTTCTTGCCTCCGAGTTTCTGCCCAGCTGCTTTCCCACAGAAGCTATTGACTGCGGCGTTGAAGCCAACACGACCGATTGCTCCATGGTTGGTTTTCACATCATTGATTGCCATCCACGTGTTCCCACAGGAGGAAATATAATCCGAGTCTCGTCGCTCAATTGGAGCTCCCTGGCTGGTCTTCGAGTGGTAAGCCTGGCGTGCAGGAGAAGTTTCTCTGGAGACCTACCGAAAAGATGATTGCCACTGCTGCTAGAAGTGCTCCTTTCATCGTATGAGAGTTCTATCCAAGAATATCCACCAGCGAAGAAAGTGACAGCGAGAAAACGGAGAAGATGAGCATAGAATGGACGGGACACAGCCCAAAAGTATGTGAGAAAGGACACCTACATATTTTGTCTCTAGGATGGGGGCAGGCGCCGAACAGCAAGACATCCAATCCTGCTGGAAGTTCGAAGGCACGCATACTACCTTCCCTTTACTACAGTACGACTATACCTAGAATGCCCTGACACGGGTCGAAGTAGTTCCATCGGGCCTCTCATCCTCCTGCGATGACCTTAAGGTCGAAGACTTGTAGAGAAATATGAAGTAGTTACCCTACCATTTCGTATATTAGCAGACTTCGCACATGATGGGTTGAAGAGCAGCCAATTGTAGGCCTGAAACTTGGCACAGCACTACTTCAACGTGGTATCTCCTCCGAGTTGAAGGGGGGATGTGTTCAGATCCTTCGGACCATAGAGGGGGATCGCCACACGTGCCGAGCCGCAGCACGGATCCCACACAGATCCAGATGGTGTTGTTCCGGGGAACATTCGAAACGATATTGGTGGCATCAAGTGACCGTAAGTGCTAGGCACGGCTTTCGTAAACGTGTTCGAACCACTGTCGAAGGAATACTACGCCGGCTGCTGCCCTGCGGCGTTCTCCCTAAGCCGTCGTGGCGCGAGAGGACATTTAAGACAGCTGGAGTCTATATTCGACGCACATGTTTCAACGGGTTGAGTTAGGGATTCGGCGTTGGTGTTTCTGGACGGGCATTCGCAACGTGGCCTACATATTCTCCACCGGCATGGCTATCGGTCCAGATGGTCAGAAAGCTTGATGGGCGACAAACATCTCATGCCGTTTGGGACATTGAGCCTGAGCCTGAGCCTGAGCTTGCGGTAGCTAAGAACTTCTCCAACTCTTGCGCTTCCACAGTATCGGAGATGTCGTAAAGCGGTTCCAGGGCGTGTCTGCACACGATTAGCGGATGTCTACTCCGTACGCCCTCCGGGATCACCGCGACCGTTGGAAGAAGTACCGGGATCCGCAAGTTCCTACTGAACCCCATGATAGCGATCCGTGTGTAGAGAGTGTAAGGGAGTACGCGGAACCTTCGGAGAAGGAGCGATGTGTCATCCCGATTGGGCAACTGCTGCCAAGGCGTCTCACCACACCCCCGCCAACCATGACGAATATTATTGCTCCCCAGCGATATCCACACGACAGAGTTCGAAGAGCTCACGATGGAGACTCCTCGGACGCGTTCTTCGAATGCTGAGCGACTCACATGACGCCATCACCCTATGACGGCGCCAACGGCGTTTGCCCCGCCGATCTCTCGGAAAAGCCGGCTTCGAGCGAATGTGTAAGCCGCGCCCTGGAATATAGGCCCAGAGGAAGCGCCATAATGCTACTGATACCACCATCCGAAATGCGAAGGACCGCAGAGGCCTTTACTATCTATCGCTGGGTGAAGTATGAGCGATAGCGCAGAGCAAAACGCTAGACGCTATGGCGCAAGGAGTGTCTCGTCGACGACGACAACGACCCATGGCCCCATCATAACCACGACTACTTCTACGACGGGCGGTTCCCGGCCTACCGTGACGACAAGTGGCCCGCAGTCAATCACCACGGCGCATCCGACTGTCACGACGAGGCACCAGCTCCCTCGCCCAGCGCCCACATCTTCTGCCGCGACCCAGACCGAGCGCGCGCCCGAGCGACGTCCCTCAATCCCTTCGATCCGCATACGACGGCAAAGCGCGGACCAATCCACACAGTTGGGCGAGGAAGACGGCTGGTATGGCAATCGCAGAAGGAGCAGCTCGGAGCCGCAGCGGCCGCCCCTGGCCCTGCTCAATCCACACGACGACTTGGAGATACGGCGGCAGATGACGGCCACTCCGCTGCAGACGCTGCATGAGGAGCGCTCGTCGAGTTCTGTGCCCCGGCTGCTAGCAGTCCCGCCATCGATTCCACAGCGGAGCGCGAGAAGGCCGGGGCTCGCGAGGCAGGCTTCAGCGATCAGCATCCGCCAGCCAGGCCAGGACGCGCTGGAATACGGGGCCCGGGTGGTGGACATGCTCGATGTCATTGGTATGTGTTGACCCTTAAAGCGAGGTCGCGACGCTAACTCAATATCCCAGACCCCGAGGTCTCCACTCTCACGACGCTCAACAACGTCCAGAACTCGCTGTTCATCCCCAATCTCGGATGGCTCTACGACCGCCGGCCAACCTACCAGCTCTCCCAATCCCCGCCCAGTACATCCGACGAAGAGGCGGCGCTCGAGCAGGAAGAAGCCGAATTCGAGCAGCCGACGGAAGGGACCGATGAGGAGCGGACGGGGCAGGAGCGACCCACCGCGACTCGACTGGCAACCACCAACACCATCTCTTCGGTCCTCACGGGCATGTCCGAAGGGCACAACTACGCCGTTCTGCCCCACGGAGCGAGGCTTCCGGGCTGGACAAGAGACGAGAAGGAGATGCTCAACGACCATGTACGCCACTTGATGCACTCGCGCCGCGCCAAGTTCAAGCGCGGCATGCGAGGATTCGGCCGCTACGTGCGCAAGCCCGTTGGCTTTCTCGTCACGCTGTATGCCTTTCTGTTGACCTTTTGGGGTGCCGCTTGGGTGCTCTTCCTTATCGGCTGGATCAGCGCCGGCGACAGACAGGTCTACTTCATCGAGATCTGCGACCAGATTCTTACGGCTTTGTTCTGCCTGGTCGGTATTGGTATGGCGCCGTGGCGCGCTATCGATACGTACCATATGATCTTTGTCGCCCACTACGCACATCTGACGTGGAGACTGAGGAGAGAGCGCGGATTGCCTGACCTGGAGGATCGCAATGAACTGCCGGCCCGCCCGCCTACGCATGCCTGGGAGACCGGGGAAGAAGAGATGAAGGGCGAGACCGAGGCCGAGGCCGAAGGCGAAGAAAGCGTTCTGACAGCCGCTCAGCAGGCGAAGCTCGAGCATCATCAGGACAAGCTGGCTAAATCTCACACCTTCTACAAGCCTCACGAGACGGATACGCATCTCGCCTTCTCTATCCGTCTCTTGATCGCTATCGTCGTTCTCCTTGATTGCCATTCGTTATTCCAAATGGCTCTAGGAGGCACCACTTGGGGCATTTATTACAAAGACCGTCCAAAGGCGCTAACGGCGGTTATCCTCAGCTGCAGCATCTCCTGCAATATTTCGGCCGGTATAGTCATCAGTGTCGGCGATAAGAGGAGCCGGAAGAAGTTGGTCGTCGAGCAGATGTTTAGGCAGGAGTTGACTGAAGAGGCCTTGACCACGCTTAAAGAGAAGAAGGGCCTGCAGGCAGTGGGACTTGGGAGGAAAAAGAGCAAGAAGAGGAAGAAGGGCAAGCGTTGAGAGGGCGTGCGCTGTGGATAGGCGAAGGGAGTTCTCGACGTGCACGCGGCTTGATTCGCTAGTAGTTTTCTTTCCTGCGTGCCGCCTTCTGCCTTGAGCATCGCATCCCTCGCTGCGGGCGACGCTCGAAAGTCGCCACTCGTAGCTTCACAACCAGGCATATGAGACCATTGGGCAACTGTGCAATCACCCTGCGCGTATCTTCGAGTTGGCCTTCGTCCCGTCACGTTTCTAGTACATCGGCCCAACTCTTGGCAACGGCTCGAAAATGCCACCTGCGACATCCTGCGAGCCGTACATGCATGGGATACTCGGAATACCGAGGACACCCTTTTCGGGCATTAGCGCCGACGTCCCTCCTTTTCCCATAATGACTGGGGAAATCGGCAAGGGCCGGGGCGGAGTACAGGCTCCTGGTGGAGGAATGCCGAGACCCTATGGATAAGAGAGCGACTAGGAAGTACAAGCAACACCCAAAGCAGCCGTAGGTATGCATCCGCAACCAACCGGTCCTCTTCTCGGATCGTTCGAATTAATTGTTCTTTGAGGGATCAGGGACCAGGCCTGGCGTGATCGCTTTGTGGGCACAGTTGGGTATTCACGTGCTCGTCGTATATGCGGCTGGGTTCGCATGTTACTGTTCGTATGTCCACCGCCAAGCTTCAGCTTTTCCGAATACAGCGCTGCAGTAGCCCAGAAGGATCACAGCAATCTATTTTTGTACACCGAGTTCGCTTGCGGTATGTATGGAAGCAGGCAATTAAATTCCACGCATAAGAGAATTAAAGTAAAGCTAAGATGTTGAAAGACAGCAAGAAATGATTGAAGGAGTCTGACAGCAGTCGCTGCAAACAGCAGCATTTGTCGCGATCGAACCACGATGGCTTGCTGATTCGCTGACACAAAGTCAGCCTACCTCGTACTGTACCCCAAATAGTTCCGTGGCTTGCACACTGCGGCCGTTCTCGCAACACGAGGCGTACATATTTCTCAATCCTCTCGCACTTTAAACTACTTCCAGCTGCTGCGCGTCGGTGCCAAGGTATGTTGCTGATAACGACGGAAATCACGGTACAGAAATCCCCTTATGCCCTGCGTCCCCAGCTATCTTTTGGTGAGCTGATACGACCTTCTCACGGCAGTGTAAATCCTTTCCTTACACCCTTCGCCACGATACCTGTCTTCTCCTGAAATGAACCAGCAATAGCTGGAGACACTCGCTGCCACCTTCCGACTCTGTCATTCGTTCAACGGCTCCGTCAAATCGCTTCTTCGACCAGCACTATGGTCTCTCACAATCTGCTCGTACACCCGCCAGCTGGGCTGGCCTTCAAAGTCGCCCTTTTCATGTCTCTATGCTCCCTGGTCTTCTTCCTCTTCTATTCACCGTACCCCACAAATAACAATCCACCACATCCACCACATCCCCCGCTCCCGAGACCCATCGTACAGGAGCACCTACACCTACGGCCATCGATCCCGAAATTCGCAAACCACGGCACTTCGCGGTGCCTCCCATTCGTTACGGATGACCTCATTGAAGAGGCAGTCAAGCGCAACGAATCATGCCGGACCTTCGCACCCTTCCCGCGCAGTCGAACCCGCATATCGACCGTCAGCGTCACATATGGCGAGCGGAAAGAGCATATCCAAAAGGCGCTACAGACGCACATCATCCACAACATCATCCACGGCAACGACATGCACGTCATGTGCAACCCCATCGTCGACGACCTCTGGAACAAACCCGCCTTCATTCTCAGCGTGCTGCTAGAGCAGATGCTCCTCCCGCCCGAGGAGCGTTATGAATGGCTCTTCTGGGCGGACCGCGACACCATCATCCTCGATCAGTGCCGGCCTACGTCGAGCTTCCTGCCGCCCGAGGGCTCTGACTCTGGCGCTGATACGCCTAATCTTGTAGTCACTAGCGACGCCAACGGTCTCAACAACGGCGTCTTCCTCCTCCGAGTGAGCGACTGGGCCATTGAGCTCTTCGAAGACATCCTCGCATTCCGCTTCTATAACCCGGACGCAGACTTACGTTTCACGGAGCAATCAGCCATGGAGAACGTAATCCGCATGGACCGCTTCATCAACAACGTCGCCATGGTGCCGCAGGAGTGGTTCAACGGGTACCCGAATTCCGAGTTTGGGCCTGAGAAGTTTAGAGACAGGAATAATACAATGGGGCTCGAAGACTTCCAAGTTAGGCGAGGCGATTTCATCGTCCACTTCGCGGGACCATGGGACAAAGACGAGCCGATGTTGGAATGGGAGAGAGTGATAAGGAATATGACAAATGTTTGGGAGATGAATAAGGTGCAGCGTCATTTGGATGGGGATGTGCAGGCGTTCTGGAGGGAATGGGGATACTGAACGCGACAGCTGTGGCGTGATTGCATCGCCCAGGGTTTTCAACAAGATCGAGCCCGTGGGGCTGACGCTATTCGGGATGATCCGCGACCCTGCTACTCCTCCCACCCGTCCCCCACACCCAGCATCCAGTTCACGCCCACGAGCTCCAACCCATACTTCTCCACCCACGCCTTCGTCGCGAAACTGCGTCTCTGCGCGAATTCCTCACCGCCAACGTCCTCTTTCGCCAGTTTAGCCATTCCGGTCGGCTCGCGATACAGGAGGAACATGTATCGATGCGGTGCGGAATCGTCTTTTGGACCAGGGCCAAAATACTCGGTTAACACATTTCCGCCTTTAATAGCATCCTCGGAGGAGAATGGGCATGAAATGGCGGACACGACCCAGTGACGCCAGTAGGCGAATTTAGGGTCGGAGGGGGTCGGGGCGTCCGGGTCGATGAGAAGGAGTGTGTACGAGGTCGATGGGTGGGTGTTCGACTATTCCCCGTCAGCAGGTCGTGTGTGCGCCTATGGTACGACTCTTGTACAAAACGATAGAGGACTGGACACACGTACCTCCGGCGTGAATGTCACACAAGGGGTGACCTTGCATTCGCCGGCTCGGAAGAGATTGCCTGCCGCGACTAGTTTGCCGTTGAAGGAAATGGAGAGTTGGACGGAGGGTTCGAATGTCGAGGGGATCAGAGGGGAGGGGAGCAGCCCGGCTTTGGAAAGGGATGCCATTAGGGTTGAAGTTTCGATTTGAGAAGTCATTGTGTGTGGAGGTATGAGCGGGTCGGCTTGGGCCTTCTGGATTACTCCGTACGCAGAGGATAGCATATATACTTATACTGCAGTCCGTGAGCGATGATGAAAAACTAGTCGGTATTGTATTCACCGAAGTTGCTGGATTCTGATTGGTCGGAACGTGTGCCAAGAGTTTGCGGAGAAACCTGACCGAGACGTTCTTTCCGTCCCGTCCTCTCCCCCAACAAACCCCTGGACGCGGCGCTTGATGTGCTTCTGACCACGACCCTTCTATCCATCCATGAGACACACAGCCGCAGCAGCAATTTTCACTTCAACCAAACCCAGACCCACTCCAGCACGGCCTTGAAATTCCTGCTCGTGAACAGCTGCTTATCCGGAAAACGCAAATGCCCTCTTCGATGCCGCGCGCCGCAGTACTCACAGGGTTTCGATGTGCCGTCGGCATTCACGACGATAGGACCGACTGACTCCAGCCCTACAAGCTTGACGGCGAGCGTCCTCCAGCTGCTTGGCGAGAATCCGCGATCTTTGAAGAAGTAGGCCAACGAAAGAACGAAGAAGATGACGATAGCAATGTACGAGGCGACGAAATCCTTGGCGCTGAATGGAGACACGAATGTTCGCCATCCGTTGAAGAGCGCCAGAAGGATGCAGCCCGTGCATGCGTAAGCTGCCCGGATCCATTGGAGGTGCGAGCGATACGGGTATTGACGAGAGGCCCGCTTGTAAAAGTTCCGCATCTCTGGTGTCAGGTTGAGGTCCTCGTCCAACTTGCCCGTGGCCGCTGCATTGACCTGCCGGTAGAACTGCAGATACGCGATGCAGTTGACGGCGAAGATGATGAGATTCGCGGCGACGGCCGCGGTGGCCATCCGTCCCAGATTTTCGGCTTGCGACTCGTTCGTCGAGAGGAATGCGAGGAACCCGACAAGCCAGCTCACGAAGACAGCGTTCATCGGTACACCCATCCTTGTGCTCTCCAGCCGGGACCGGATGGCCTCGAAGAAACCCCACTCGGGCCACGCGTCGCGGTGGCTTGCCAAGGCGTGCAGGATGCGCGATGCTCCGTATAGGTTGTTGATGGCGGTGCTGAACGGGGAGAAGATGAAGAACGCGTTGAAGAGGTGCGGTATCACCTTGACGCGCTCCCTCACTGCGGCGAGAATGAAGACGCTATTCTGGCCGCCGGAGATTCCATGGATGGTCAGGTCGGCAAGATGCGCATCGTCCCAGGGCACATTCAAACCCACGGTGAACGCACAGAGCGCATAAAGGACCAGTACTCTGATGGTGATCTTGCGGGTTGCGAGCTTTAGGGTCTCCGTTTTCCGAAGGTCTCGGTTTTCCGCCGCTGTGAAGAAGATGATTTCCCATCCCATCAGGGAGAAGAGCGTCGTGGTCAGCGTCGTCCAGAAGGACGTGAGTCCCCCGAGGGCGCCTGTATATGTGTGGGTGTCCTTGACTGAGAAATCATTTCTAGCGAAGCCGTAAGGGTCTTTGTACGTCCAGAACCGGTCCGCGTGGAACTTATGTCGCGCGTTTAGAACGGTGTTGAACAAGATCAACCCAACCAGGAAGGTGATCTTTATGCAACCAAAGACATATTCGATCCGACCGTACTGCCTTACGGGGAGTAGATTCACGAGGAGCACCACGATGAGGAAGATGCCTACCCACACCGCGGGGTTGGTGTCCATCCCAGCGCGCCATTCGAGGCGATCGGACGGATACTGGAACGTCTGGAGATATGCCGGGTCGAAATGGAAGCGGAACACTTCGGTGATGGACATTATTTCGGCAGCAAGGGTTACTACCCAGGAGAACCTGCAATGAATGTCAGCCCTTTCTTCGTCTCCTCGGCCCGCCCTATTCGCGCCAGGATAGTCAACGCACCAGGTAATCCATCCAATGGCCAGCCCAACGGACTCATCAATAAAGCGGCGGGGGAACTCAAAGATTGGGCCTTTGACCGGAAATAACGCGGTCATCTCTCCCAGACAGGCCATCGCCGACCACATTATCGTACCCGCCACAAGATACGCCAGGACAGCAGCCCCAGGTCCGGCCATGTAAATCGCTTTTCCGGCGGACAGGAAGAGCCCGAGGCCCAACACCGTGGAGAACCCGATCATGTTTACATGGCGCTCTTTCAGGGTCTGACGCAGCTCTGTACGAGCAACGTCCGAAGTCTCCGAGGCTCCGTCGGACGTTGGAACTTGAGTCGGAGAGAGCGGTGGGGGAGCCTTCTCCCCTTCCTGCGCAATCGCATAGTATTGCGGTGTGTATTCAATCGTGGCCATCGTGGAACCCTTGCATGTGAGTCAGTCTGCACTAAAGTCTCGAGGCTGCTGCATACCTAAACAAGATGAGTTTAAGGCGGGACCTGGGCAGCGGTTCGACAAGAAGAGCAGCGGACGCACGACTTATGAGAACGCACGCCAGGCTACCTCATCCTCCAACGCTCGTCTTCTATGTTTGGACCCCAATCCACGAACACATGCACCATGCCATTTCCGGCGATTGACATCGACAGCATCTTGGGGTGTGGGCGCCCGATATGCGGGACGGAGCGCTATTACTGCAGCCACCTGACTACGTCCGGTGAACGCGTGCCAGCGCACTTCGCATCGACGCTGCTTGGATCTTGGCCTCCTTCATTTACCAATCGCACTCGTCGGCACACTTCGTTATTTTGAATTTACATCTCAGTCGCTCAATCTCACTTTTCTCCCCGCAAAAAGGACTGAAATTGCAATATGGGCAGGCTGAATCAAGAAACGGTATCCTGTTTTAGGCTAGTCGTGGCTGCATTGGAGGCGTCGAAGGCGCTTCAACATATGTATGAGGGACGCAAGGCTGAATTCCAGCCTGCCTCATCAACTTCGGCCACCATTAGGATTTTTCTGGCTCCCCTTAATATTCTCAGTCACTGGCCAGGTGGATACCATGGTATTCGGCAAACGCTGAATTGCTTTCAATAAAGTCTCGGCGCTATACCGTTATTCTTCGACCGGTTGTTGATCCCAGACTGGCGCTGCACCTTATGCCCGGCGTCGCCCGGCAGCCTTTTGGCTCAACGAGGCGCACTTCAATGTTTCCAATTGGCAGAGACCTGCTTGGCTTTTTGTTCTTCTGCAGAAAGTTTACGATAAGCACAGCCCCCGCATCCGCACCCACGAGGCATTGTCTAAAGATAGGGTTCCACTGGTCGTGTTCGCATTGCCTGACATGGCTCTCCCTTTTGCGGCAACCTTATTTTCCTTTCCTGCGCAGCCTCTGCACCCACATCTCCGCATTGAAACATGCCGCCGCCAAAGCTGGCTCCTAGCCTGTCGTTCAAACGGATTTCTCCATCGGCTTTCATCCACCAGGTGATAGGAGACAGCGAGCTATCCACCGTGCATCTACCCACCGCTACTCAGCTTCAGCCGGGTATAAATCATCATCTGCGGCTCCTCCTGCGACTGAAATGGATATTGCAAGCCCTTTCGCACACCATCCCCGCCGAACGCGGTAAAGACCTAGCTCAAAGTCTCTTGAACCTCAATGGTGACGTCCTCCTGCGCGTCCTAACATACGTCTGCGATGTCTCCGGCTCCGTCCGCCCACAACGGGACGCGCATTCAGAGTATGCTGTCCTTCGACGCGTTACTCTACAATTCCTGACATGCGCTGTGCATCTCCTAGTCAGGCTGAAGACCTCGTGGACGAGGGAAGAGATGGATTGGGTCCGTGATCAGATTCAAGAGACGGTCCAGGGATGGTCACGGCACGTGCCTGTTTCACTTGTAGAAGCCTCAATCATCAAGGAGGTGCTAGCCTTGGTGTCGACCGCTCCCTCTTCTTCTGGGAAAGATGGGGTGGCTGGAACCCCTGTTAGTACCTCTAGCGATCCTGCCACCATCAACGTCGCTTTCGATCACCTCCTAGGCCTGGATCTACTACCATCGGGTGATCAGGCGCGAAGCTTCTGGACCATACACGACTGGCTTCTCACCATGGAGTGCGAGCGGCGGGATACTCATGAAGCCGATGTTACGCTCGCTGTTTACCGCGAGGCCCTCAGTAAACTGCGTGCTCGCCCCGATCACCATTACTCATTTCCTCTGGCGACCTATATGTTCGAAGAGCTGGCGGTCCATACGGCCTCTATGCATCAGCTCCTCTCGCATGAAGAGGTAAGCCTCAATTTCCAGCCCTCTTCATCGCCGCCTGCTTATGTTGATCGTCCTGTCTCGTAGATCGTGCCCGATAATCAAATGCTGAGTCACATGCTTCAAGTATTAGGATCGGAAGCTGCTGCATTCAGCGGATCGTTTCCGGAGTATGTCACTGTCGTGGAGGCTCGACAGGAGGCCGCACCTCCAGTACCCGCGTTACCGTCTCCGGCTCCATTCCCTACACCACGTTCACCTCCAACGAGCCCTAGCCGAAGTGCGAATCCGTCTCCTATCACGCATTCGGGGATGCCGTCCAGAAAGCTTCTGGCGAACGTGGATGATATCTCCGTACCGCCGCCGGCCCAGACAAGGATGCAGCCTCCCCGTCCCCAGCCAGTTTCAAGAATCACCGTTCCCGCGACCGCTGCTGAGGTTCGAGCCTCCCACTCCTCCGCCGACCCAGTGGAGCTGCCAACGCGAAGGCCAACCCATCGACCTCAATCTCCGAGCGTGCCTTCTATCCAGATTGATAGCGGCTTGGAAGTGGTTGAAGAGCCTAATTTTGATTCCAGTTCGGATTTTGAGAAGATGATGATGAAGCCGCAGCTTGGATTGCGACCGCTTAGTTTTTACCAGGGCGGCGACACACGATCCATCAGCGGTATTTCGTCCATTGGCTCTGTCTCTAGCAGAAGCAGGAGTCGCCTCTTTAGTAGATTCGGCGGTTCGAAGAAACATACTGTGAGCCCTCTGCCCGCAAGCCTAGAGTTTTGTTTCTCGAATTGCGCCCAGCAAGCAATCTTCTGGTGTAAGAAGAACCCCGATTCGCTAGTCCGGGTGCAACACCCGTTCCAACAGGGCGAGCGCTTTGAGATGCTCATACCAAATGCTTTGGCCCCGTCACCAAACAAACCGCAGAGTCGGAGCATTCGCCTGCTTGCGGCGGCGACGAATGCGGTAGTTGCTCTCGTTCATATTGAGGAGGTGAGTATTGCTAGCGACGTGAAAAAAAGCCAACACTGACTTCACCAAGAGCCGTTGGTTATATGTCTTGCGCGATGATGCATTCCAGCCTCTGATTGCACTACCTGACTCTACTCCAGCCATACTCAGCTTGTGCCTTTCGCACCACGGAAATAAGATCGCGCTCGGTTGCGGGCACTTTGTCTTAATTTACACACTCTTGAACGGGCGGCTATCCGGACCATCGCGATTAGACCCGCTTGCCAGCCTAGGGAGTCGCGTGGTCAGACTTCAGAGAATGAACTTCTCGACTGATTCGCGGCGACTGATTTCCGCCGTCCAAGTAGAGCACAACACCCACAAGCATGCTGTGTTCGTAAGCATTTGGAGTGTCACAGAGCCCAAGTACCGATTGGAGGCCCAACTAGACCCAGTCTATCTCACAGTGGTAAGCATCTCCCCCGCTGTCTTCAACACGCGTGCTGACTGTCCCGCAGGGCTATTCCGACGACACAGGAATCACCTCCATCTTTCTGGCCGGCCAATCCGACTCCCTCACAGTCCAGCAAGCCTTCCTCACCGCCGCGCTTTCCAAATCCTACCCTTCGATCCTGCCCATTGCCCCCGGTATGCGCAATCAGCACCTCGACATATCCGACAAGCGTATCGACGGCGCTATCCAATGCGCGTCGCCCCTATCACCGCACTTGTGTGCAATCAGATCAGGCCGCAACAAGATGTTCGTGGTCGACGTGCGCACGGGAACGATGGAGAAGCTGGCCGATTTCTCGGCTGAGAGGAAGAGCTTGCATCTGCGGCATGAGCACGTGGCGTTGGGGATGCAAGGCCCGGATAGGGTGCGTGCGCTGTGGAGGACGGCGGATGAGGGTTTGGTGTTGAAGACGATGGCGCGGGGCGCGGATGGGAGGTGGGGAGTGAAGACGATGGAACTGGGTGCGATCTATAGGCAAGCGGCTGGATTGGTATAGAACAAGTGCGGAAGTATATATCTACTATACTACGACATGGAAGGTAGCTCCAAGGTCATTGTACTTCTACCTACACGGCTTGGGGGGCTAAGGGGGGGCATGACCCGCGATGGAATCTTTGTGGTCTGACGCGAGACCACCCTAAACTGGACTATACTGAGACGACTCGCGTCTACAGTTCCCAGCGTTCGTTAGATGTTTAACGCTTCGCTCGGTGCCATCTATTAGCTACACGGCCCTAGTTAGTTAGTCTCCCATGAACTCCTGCAACCTGTCTAACGTTATAGCCTCCACTACTCTGTCTCTCTCTAAGACACTATCCTGGCTAGTCTGTGCAATTAGCGGCACAAGCACTTGCTCAACCATCCTACACACTGCCCGTACCACATCCACGGTGAGGTCCTGCTTAGTGCGATCAACCACCAAAATGCTTCCGCATGCGTCCTTGACCCGGCGCTCGATAATCCTACCCCACTGCTCACCGCCCCCCCACACTTGTAGATGTATCAAGCTCGCCAGCGGGTTCTGACCCAGGACGTCCTCCCCAGTGCCAGAACCCCATTTGCCCTGATACTTCCCGACCGCCCGATTCCACCCAAGACACTCCAGCGGATCGTCGCCCTCGAGATTGAACAACGAATGCGCCTTCGGCACGTCCACCTGCACCAACTCGCGCTCACGGTCCCCAGCCTGATCGCCCAAGCAATTGATCCGCACCCCCTTCACCTTGCCCATGCGCTCCGCCAGAACAACCCTGCTCGAATGCGCGTCCACGCCCACCCCGTCGACCATGCTGCCCACCCCGTCGCGGAAGTACCCCAGATAGTCGAGCGCATCGCGGTACGCCGTCAACGAGACGTCCGTAACGCGCCGCGCATCGAACGCGTCGCCCGCCTTCGTCGCGGCCACCACAGGCCCTTCCCAGATCTTCTCGCCCCACGCGTGCCGGACGAACGCCAACGGGCCTTCGTGCAGCGCCTGGTTCGTGTGCGGGTTGGCCACGCCCGCATCGTCAACGTACCAGAGATTCAGCGTGTCTGCGCTTCTCCCTCTCCCCCGCACGCATTCCCCCGCACGCACTGCAGCCCGCGGGACGCGGAGGAGCGCGTCGAGCACTGGGTTAGAGTAGCCGGGCTCGATCTCCGCGGTGGCGATCCACACGAGGCGCGGTTTCTTCGTGCGCGGGGCCATGGGGAAGTGGATCGCGAGGTGGTGGATTGGCGAGGGCCGGGCTGCGCCTGCGCCTGCTGAGAGCGCTTTGAAGGCGCGGCATAGGAGTCGGTGTGTTCGCCAGTCGACTTGCTGGCACTCGGGAGAGCAGTATGTAGCAGAGCGGCAGCGGGCGCAGTATCGTGCGGGGGATGTACCGCAGCTTGTGCATTGCGGGGATCCGTCTAAGTCCTCCATAGCTGGCTGGTTGACTTGGTGGCGGGACGATGGAGGGGAGGGAATTGGAGGGGAGGTTGGGCTATTGCTGGGTGGTTGAAACGAAGCTTAGGTTTGGAGAGGGGACTGACTCGCGGGGGATTGATTGATTGGAATACTATGGCACATGAGTACCAGATATACGTCTGCATCTGCTAGTAGAGGATGGTGTAGAGTGTACATGCCTAGCCTAGAGGCAATTGGCGCTAAATGCGTATATGCCGGGTATCCGTATGCAGCAGCACTAAAGGCCTGTAGAAGACGTTTAGCAGGGTTTACAGCTCTAGTGTCGTCTTTTCCGGACCAGGGCCTGGAAGCGAACATTCAACCGAGCTCGAGCTAGGCAGCCATGTTTGTAAGCATACTCCACTTTCCCGGCCACTGCTACTGCGTGTCTACCAACTCCCTTTCTCCCATTGCATTCAGTCCTTCGCGACTGGATTGGATCTTCAACCATGCTGGATCTACGCACCGCAGACGTGAAAACCTTGCGCACTCTCCTCGAAAGCCAGCGAATCTCGAGCGTGGACCTTGTCGAGCTATATCTTTCTCAGATACACAAACATAATAGGTATCTTCGCGCTGTGCTCTTCACTGCCCCCGAGGGAGACCTTCTAGAGCGAGCGAAGGTCCTGGACGAGGAGCGCGCGCAGGGAAAAGTCCGTGGACCGCTACATGGGATCCCGATTCTTGTGAAGGTATTGCGGAATCGTCTTTCCGGAAGTGAAACCGCTGATATTGCGTAGGACAATATTGCCACCCATCCTTCGCTTGGAATGCCCACGTCCGCTGGGAACACAGCTCTTCTGGAGTCCCGAACGACCAAGAATGCCCGCCTTGTGGATGATGTCAGTAGAACTGGACAAAAGTGGCGCTACGATGCTAATACATGTAGCTCCTTGCTGCTGGAATGCTCATCGTTGGAAAGACAAACCTTAGCGTGCGGAGAGCCATGTCATGACGAAGTATCATGTCGACTAACAGTTGGTATAGGAACTCAGCAGCATGAAGTAAGTCTAGAGATTGTCTGAACATCTTCGAAACCTGATCAAGTTGCAGAAGCATGAACATGCCGAGCGGATGGTCTGCCGTCGGCGGCCAGACGCAATCCGCTTATGTGCGAGGTGGTTTTCGTAAAGATGACAGCAGAGACGGTCACAGTGTAAGCAGCACCTCTTCGCCCAACCCCTTCATGTCGATCCAACGATCGTAACCACTTTCAGAGCCCCTCCGGATCATCATCCGGCTCCGCTGTCAGCGTTTCAGCCGGCTTCGCGCCCCTTGCCATTGGAACCGAAACGGATGGATCAATCATGTTCCCATCTGGCAGGGCAGCGCTCTACTCAATGAAGCCTACGCACGGTCTCGTCTCTCTCGACGGCATCGTACCAGTCTGTCACGTCTTCGATTCTGCAGGTCCTATGGCGAAGTCTCCGTACGATCTTGCGCTCCTGCTGGATGTGCTTGTCGGCGGCAAGGATGGCGGAACGAGCTATACGGAAGATATCTCGAATTCTTGGACTAACATCTCCGTGGCCACTTTGGATCCGGAGAAGTGGGTGCTTCCGCCCTCGATGCTGAAGCCGATAGAAGTGGCTACCGTTCAGATTGTCAGTGCTGTTCCCGTCAATTGGAGAAAGCTCGACTTACGAGTGCCTACTCATTGCCCGTAGAACAAAGAGATCAAAGCAGCGTACGAGAAGCTTGGATCGCTCGCCAAATCTGTGAGGCAGAATGTGGTTCTTCCCATGCCCGATCGCTTCGTGTTAAACGGAAAGATGAGCGAGGCGATGGTACAGCGTACGTACATGACCGGGCAGTCCATACTTCCCCAATCTCACTCTGGTAGTTGCCGACTTTCCGGTCGATTTGAAACGCTACCTCGATGGCCTTGACACGTCTCCGGTTAGGACACTAGATGAGTTGATCCAATGGAACGACGATCATGCCGATGAAGAGCTTCCGCCATGTACGTATTTCTCCCAACTGCCACATGCATCGAAGAATTGGTGTACTAACACCCGTAGATGCTCCCAGCCAAGACTCCCTCCATCGAGCCAAAAACCTGCACCTCACCAAGCAAGAATATGACGAGCACCTCCAGCACTGCCGCCTAACAGCGCGCGATCACGGCGTCGAAAAAGCCTTCAAAGAGTACGGGGTTGATATCATCTTGGGCCCTAACGACAGCCCTCTCCCTCTGCTCGCAACCTGTGGAGGTGAGAATCCCATTTCAACGAATACCTCATCGTTTTAATGAGCACAGGATATCCCGTAGCGTCCCTGCCGCTCGGATATCTCGACTACAACGGACGGCCCTTTGGTCTGATCGCTCTCGCGCCTCGACACGGCGAGGCTCGCTTGATTAAGGTTGCTAGTGCGTGGGAGGCTACATTTGGACCTCGTCGACCTCCCGTTCTCGAGATGACGGTGACAAGTCGGCAAACATAAGGGAACGGCAACGGTTCTTCTTTTAGTAGCTAGGACTCTGGGGCTTGAGGTTCGAGAGCTCGAAGCAGCTTCGATTCGAGGATGCGGGAAGATTTCTTGGTGCTTCGACTACGTCTTCTACTTCTACTTAAGACTTAGTTAGAGTTTATAAGCGCGTAAAGCGGTTAGAAAGCAATAACGTTCTAAAAGATCTGCGCAGCGAAAAGTTCTGTTATAATTAGCGCAACCTCGCTGCAATTATCTAAGAGCTACTTACTGCACACTGGTTGGTACTGAAAAATAGCGTAGACGCGGATATCCTTAACGAGAAGGTGTATAATACAGGAAAACAACTCCGGTGCCAGGCTGAGTAGCTTCATAGTAACCACTTCGCGGTTCTGAGTTGGGTTGGACTGCAGTGTTGCTAAAAAGATACTGGACCAATGGTGCGCATTTATCGGCTGCGGTCGGCGTCAGTCTTTCACGACGACCTGTGAATGCTAAAGGATTGGCAAAGTGTTGAACCGCAATGAACCAACTCTTACCCTAACCGTTCGTCCATTATAACGCATGATACATAAAAAGGTTCTATACCAAGGTGAAATACTTGACCTCCTTTGAAAAGTGTTCCAACGTGCCGGTAATACTAAGACCCCGTCTTTCATCAACCACAAGAAGAGCAATCCGCTCGTACGTCTCTTCATCAGAGTCTGTCTGTACTAGCACGAGCACGTATAGCTTCCGAGGAGACTGTTGTGTGAGATTAACCGATTGGATGCTCATCGGTATGCAGAATACTTCCGTGCTGTTAGGAACAAAATCGTTCGACGATTTCTCGATAGCGTAATCCGGGACTATCTGGCAAGCGTATGTCTCGGAGAACTGAACGGCGTATATCATGCTTCGCTCTTTCGGCCGGGTCTCGGCAGCAAGGCTGACGCCGGTGTCGTTCGGACCCCAATACTGAAGTGTTGCTTTCGCCCACCGGCTCCGAAGGCGTAGTTCCCCCGATACGACCTCACCAAACCCGTCTTGAAACTTTGGCTTTGCGCTGCAACCTAGTATCTCCGCTATGTGTTCGAAGGACGGTCTCTCTTCCTCAGCTTCGTCGGGATTCCAGAATATGGGGCCGTCGCTGTAGTAGATGGGCGCTACAACGCTCGCCCACGACCAGTACGGTGCCCTCCAAGCGGGTCGAACTTTTGCGGCTGACCCCATCCATAACAGGTCGTCAACCATGGAATCTGTCCATAGCCCGGCGATATATCTACCAGACCGAACCGTGGACATCTGGCGTGCTAGGCCGCCGAATGCGGGGAGTATGTCGCTCGTATACGATAACGAGAGGCCTGTATAACTACAAGTGGAACAAATAATTAGCATAATGGCTAATTTGAGGCAGAATAAAGATGATTCAGTCAATGGCAGAGCCTCGTCCAAACCGAATCCTACTTACAGTCCGACCATAGCTCGCCACGCCCTGGCTATGTACCATGGATTATTGCTGTTCTGAGCCTCTGCGAACATCAACTTTGGCATTGCGATAGGTATTTCGAACCCCTCGATTTCGCCGCATTCGCACTCGGAGGTGGTCTTGCATTCGAAAAACAATTCGTGGGGGCCGAAGTGTACAACCCTCGACGAAAGGATCCTCTCTTGCAGCACCCACGCACGCGTTAGAAGTGGGAACTTCTTCGAAAGGTGGGACTGCTGTGCGTCCATCATCTCATGATCTATGCGCTCCCTGAAGATGAGCTGGTACGGCTCGCCGTTCAAGGTGAGCCCTGAGACTATGAAGTCAGGATGCGTTCGATACAGCCCACCGTTACCAGAGTCAGAGCTTGTCGCAGCAATCGTGAGAGAAGCATTCTGGTAGAATGCGGCCATTTTCGAAGCTTCTCGCGCCCAGTCCTCTTCGTCATCTTGAACGATGCAGAGACTGTCGATCCAGATTTTGCTTATGCCCAATCGTTTGGTGAGCTGAATCGCTTGGTAGAAGGTTTCCGAGCATTCTTCGAATTCAACCTGCTCTTTGCGTCGCGAAAGCGTTGCCTTTGTTGTTGTGATAATCTGCGCCTTTCCCCAACAGTGAGAGAGCGCGACGTACTCCCCCGTTTGGCCATCTGTTTCAACGACTCTTACGACACCGCCGTGGAGACCTACGTCCACCATCCTTGTGGGTAGAGGTCGATCTTTGATGCCGTCGCAGAACTCATGCTCGGTGGAACACTCGCGTATCCAATTTTGGACACACTCGAATGCTTCGTTTGATGCTGTGCTATTAGCTGCGCGACGGCCGGTTGGCATATCGTGCCAATTGCTGGGAATACTAGCTTCGCCATGCTCGTCTGCGCTTCGTAAGCCGAGTTGATTAATCTGCAGTCTTGCTTCAGCAGACCTTGTAAAGCCGTGTATTCAATACTTAATGAGCCCGTTGCAAAGTTCAGTGTAATCAACTTCTGGCAATCGCGCTCGTTGGACATGTGGTTTGGCTCGTATGCAAGCCAGATGTCGCAACTTTTTACATCGCTCTCGCGCTTGTGGAGGTCCCCGAGCAGGCCTCGACAGCCTTCAATGAGGATGTCGCAGCACTCGCAGTGTTTCGCTGACTTGAGCAGATGCTTCCAGGAGTACGAGGCCCGAAGATCGCTCTGTGGGTACGGCCCTCTTGTAAACGAGCGACAGTTTGGGCACACCATATCTTGGGATGAATGGTGGAAAGTTGCAGTGGATGCCTTCGGTCTGAGTCCGCTCCAAGCTGAGGTTTCACGCTAATCCACGAAAGGCGTAGGGTTTTGTCTTATCCAGATTTGCCGCAGCTTCTTACTACAGCCTCAGCCAAGCTGCTTCGCAGAACTGAAGGCTCGGATAGGGTACGAATGTTCAGATAGCGAGACGAGAGGCTCGCTGCTGGCGAGCCGGCTCTTTCCCATGGCTCCATCCATCATAATGTCAAACGAAGCCAGACCGGTGCCTGAGACGAGTGATCGGTGCACGGAGACCAGTTCTACGGATGCTAGACTCGCCAAAACAGATTGCACAAAAACTTCAACTCTTCAGGGCCGGGAGCTACAGTCGAAAACATGCTCCGTCTGCGTACGTATATTCATCCGATGGGGGATCATGGCAGTTGTGCCGTCATGCCAGTCTCGCAGTCCTGAAGAAATGCGGGGTACAACAGGATTCCGGCCCCCACACCAGGTGTCGCAATATTTCGTGATCGCTTACCTCAGCAACCATCAACAACAACAAACAGCCATTGAAGCTGAAGCCTTCAACAATTACTACTCCACCAAACCAGGCCCGATTTTCGCGATTAATATGTCAAATGATAGCCCGAGAACTCCTCTACAATCCCCAAATCAACCCGAGTACGATACCGGTCACCGTGTTCGATATTTTTACGACGCCGATCGAAAGCCCAATGGCAAGACTTTTACAGAATTGGCCCGCAAACATAGGATCGGTGAGGCCACAGCTCGTAGATAGCGACGGGAGAGGAAGTTAATAGGTACACTAAAGGCTATAAGGCGTGTACGCAAGCAGAAAGCACAGGAGAAGGGACATAAGCTTGGGAGACCTTTTACAATACCTCAAGAAGTACTTAACGATATAGTAGAGCCTTTAAATCCTGTGCGCAACTAGCCCCTAGTTATCTAAGCTTAGCACTACAGAATACACGCTAGCGAGAGAACTATCTAGTACAATTTACAGACGCGCAAAAATTAAGCTTAACTCTACGTCGCTAGCTATACAAAGACAGTATTAGATAATAATAAGGGTAAGAGAGTAAAGTATAGCGCAGATTACAAGAACAAACTAGTTATTAGGTAGTAGAACCTTGTATACTTTACTAATAAGGCACATTTTAATCCTACAGAGAGGCTTTAAAAGCCACGTTAATTAAGGGAGAGAGGTACAAGAAATAATAACAAGAATATTATTAAAGTAGATAAGGTTAAATCTAGGTGTGTAGTTTACATATACGCCTAGATAAACTAGTACTAGAAGTCTCTACTAAGCTTTTATAATAATAAGAAGAATATGCTACTAAAGCCTAAACTACCGCTAAAGCCTAGAAAGTTAAAATACAAGACTTAGAAAAAGCACGAGAGCCTTGTAAGAGAGTAGAAGGCTAATAAGCTACCTAAAGTAAAGTAGAACTCTTAGGGCAACTACATAACTTAAAAGTACTACTCTAAGAAGATTCTACCTTACTATATTAAGGCTATACATAAAGCGCGTATACAGGTACTAAAGTCCTAGGTTCTCTAAGAGAATAACGACCCTTCTTATAGCACTCGCTCTACTAATAACGACGCCGCTATACTTAAAAGAAGCAGCTAGATAGCTATAATAATCTACCTAGCTTAGTCGCCTAACCTTAACTCTATAGAAGAATACTAGAACATCCTTAAGGAACGTACAAAACGCTAGTTATAGAGACCTAGGACTTATCTAGATAACCTAGCAGATAGAGAAGAACTAGAAGAAGAATAGGACAGTACTACTCGCTATCTTAAAAAGATACTCTAAGAGGAATAGGATAAGATAACTCTTAAAGACGTACGGAAATTTATTAAGGAGATGCCATAGCGCTGTGCGGAAGTTATTAAGCTTAATAGGCGTCGTGTACGCTTATTACTCTAGTAACTTAGCTATTTTGCAACTGCAACACTAAAATATTGACCTGTATAGACTTCTGTATATATATTTACAGCCTTAATTATCGTACACATAGCTTTCCTGCTAAAAAACTATAAAAAAACCTTGCTTGTATGTGATTTTGGGTGGGCGGAAGGTTTGTTAATGGTTGCTAAGGTACCGTGTTTCATCAGCTAGCGCACGTCCCCACCTGGCGCACAGTTTCTAGAAAATCTTACCCCTCTCTAACTTTATAACTATTAGAGCTATACTAATAAAACTTAATATATAAGCTTTATATAGTATAAA